TGTATTCGGAAAGAATAAACCAGTTTTACTTAAGAAAGGTCTTGTGTCGCTAAAGTTTCTTCGGAACGAATTTACGGAAAATTAACTAACGAAACGGAGATGTAACAATATACATATATATTATTCAAACCTTCGGTGTATAGGACGCAAGCAGATTTTGACATCACATTTTGGGGTAAAAAAGCACGTCTTATACATCGAAAAATACGGTAGATTACACCCAAACACACATATACATATATACGTATAATATAAAAATATGTGAATATATCTTCCATTTAATTATTAATTATTTAATTATTCCAGCTAATTATTTCAAACAGTTAAAAATTTAGTTTAAAACTGAGAGCGAAATAAAATTAAGAACGTGTAAAAAAGACAAAATTGTACTCTGTTTTAATTTCATTAGTTGAATGTACTCTGCCCACCACAAGTATTTAAACCCGATTCTTAGTGTTATAAACTTTCAAAGTTACCGCTGAGCCACCAGGAAGCTACGCATTAGAACTATGGTGTGAAAACTCATATTTTTGACAATAATACACATAGGCTTAGTTGGAAATTATGTAAATTCATGATCAATGAAAGGTTATCTTAGGACATGAAAAGTTGCTTCCCTTATATATAATTGTAAAAAACGCCCATAAAAACTGCAAAACACAAAGTGTGAAACCGCAACTTCGCATAAACCCAACAAACCTTCATGTTAAATTTGGTGAAGATCCATCAAACAGAGGGCGAAGTAGTGGTAAAAAACGCAAAGCTGAAAATGTGTATGTATCTCCCAATGGACCCAGTGAACCTTCATACCAAACTCAGTGAAGATCCATCCACAGGAAGTGAGATAGTGGTAAAAAACGCAAAACTGAGAATCTGTATGTATCCCGCATGGACCTAATGAACCTCTTTGTGAATTTTGGTGTTCGATACATATGGTGGGCACAGCACAGTTAGCCCACTGTGTAGCTTTGTGCTTAACTACAAAGAAAAGTTTATTTCATTTGGCATTGAAATTTCTTATTGGAGAAAATAATATAAATAATTCATTGTTGTAATGTATTCTATCGTTGGTAAAAATAGTGCCAAGTTGAGTCCACCTAACGATAATGAATTTATTTATTTATTAAATTAATCTATACAGTAGCCGTGTTCACTTTTAGGAGGTTGGTGGGCGTCCCTCAGCACCAACCATTTCTGGTTTCCCGAAGCTGACTTATTGGTGGTATTTTTCTTACACTGGCTCCACAGATGTCCTTGATCCCCACAGTTCC